GAGGACACAACCTTCTATAGTGATAATAAAGTGCAGGTGCAAACACTGGGATCTGTGTAAAGCTGCCCATTACAACCATTGCACGACTTTCGTTGTGCGATGGTTGTAGGGTGATTAAAATTTCGTACGACCTGCCCATCATGGACAGGCAGATCGTACTTGTGATCATCGCAAGTCCTCCCCGCTGACGGGAGGGCTTGCAGATAATTGCAATGGCGAGCGGGCAGTGTGCGCTTGCGTACCTCGGGTCGTGCGGCTTTCGTCTTGCGATCGCACTACGTTTTCTAGCGTGCTCGTTATACGAAAATTGTGCGACCAGACAGTAAATGCGGTCGCACGTTGCCCATACACCTTACGATTATTGTACGATCGCAGGATCGCCCGCGATTATTATGCAATAATCGTCAGGTGTATGGGCAGCTTGAGAACATAAGGAGAAAGCACTGAGAAGAGGGGGAGTGGGGAGAGTAAGAGGCCGAGAACCTGTGTGCTGGAATTTCTTCTAGCGAAATGGATTATAATAGACAGACAGTCCTGGGCGCCGAGCGAGTAATTTTTTTTTCTACATTGAGGGCCAGTTCACACCACAAAGGCTGCGTTCCAGAGTGTTTGGCCTTTGGAATGCACTCGAATGCAAGCTAGCCGGATCCCTGCATTCAGGGGTGGGAGGGGAGTGGCGGTGTATTGAAATCAATGGCACCGCAGTCATGCCCACAGTGCGATCACCCGCAACGCAGGCGCACTAGTGCCTGCATTCCGGTCCAGTGCGATCTGCAAAAATACTGCAAGCACTATTTTTGCAGATCGCACTGGACCGGAACGCAAGCACTAATGTGCCTGCGTTCCGGGTGCAGGCGATTGTACTGTGGGCAAGGGGCGTGGCTGCAGTGCCATTCAATGCACCGCCATGCCCCCTCCCACCCCTGAATGCAGGGAGCCAGCCAGCTTGCGTTCCAGAGGTTGAACGCCCTGGAACACAGCCTTTGTGTTGTGAATCAGCCACTTTACAGGCAGCAAGGCTAAATGTAAAGTGGGAGCCATTTTGTACAGGTGATCTTGAGCGGCAGTACAGCCATCCAAAACCACTTATAACCAGCCTGATTCTCCCTCTCCTCCCCCTCCCCTTTCTCTCTCAGGTGGCCGTGTCCCCAGCTACTCCCTCTAATATCGCTGCTTTTCTCCATGCCCGCTGGATCCCTTTCTGCAGTGCTCTTTGGGGTCCCCCACTCTTCTGGAGGACCCGGGATCATGGCAAACTAGATCGGGATGGAGAGCGGGGAGCAGAATAGAGAACGTCTGTTATCTCCTCTGCTCAGTGTGAGCAGTGACACACGAATGCTGTACTCACAGACTCCTGTTACAGGAGAACAAGCACAATGCTGTGCTAGAACTCCTGTGTTGGAGGTGACAGGGTCAATAAAGAGAACCTGTCACCTCCAAATACTATCACACAGGGGCTTGTTAGCTCATGTGTAATATCAGTGAAGTCAAGTAAAAAAAATAGTCAAAAAATAAATAACAATTAAAAATGTAAATACATAAACATGTAAAAAATTATAATAATTAAAAATGGGAATAACAATGTAAAAAATAAAAAGGCGATAAAGTAAAAAATAATAAAATACATGAAAGTAAACATTTTTACAAAGTAAAAAAATAATAAAGTAAATAAAAAATGTTTTTTAAACCAAACCCCTGCCCCCACCATCTGCATTCAAATAATTCAAATAAACACATGCATGGGGCATTGTGTGTGTGTGTGTGTGTGAGCCAAATGGGAA